GTAGAATGATTTGTGTCATACATGTTAATGCAGGCACTAGATTTTAAGGACCCAGAAGTCCAACATAGGCACCTGTCGCATCTCTTTGGACTTTACCCTGGACATACTATAGCCATGGATAATGACCCTGATGTTTGTGAAGCTGTTGCCAATAGCCTTTACAAAAGAGGTTAGCTCAACTCAAAAGCTGGACACATTGGACTACTATTGACACATTTTATCTAATTTATCTCATCTCTCCCTCTTGCTGACAGGTGAAGATGGCCCCGGATGGTCAACTACATGGAAAATGGCTTTGTGGGCGCGTCTTCTGAACAGTGAAAATGCATACAGAATGGTTTTAAAGCTGATCACCTTGGTTCCTCCCGGTGGTAAGGTTGAGTTTGAAGGAGGACTCTATACCAATCTGTGGACAGCACACCCGCCATTCCAAATAGACGCAAACTTCGGGTACATCGACCTCCCAACTCCTCACCATGGCATCTGAGTCTTCAGAAACTAAAGAAGCATTTCTGATCCCGCTCTTTCTGTTCTGACAGATTTGCAGCTGCCCTTGCTGAGATGTTGATCCAGAGCACACAGAGTGACCTTTATTTGCTCCCCGCTCTGCCGAGAGATAGGTGGCCCACGGGCAGCGTCAAAGGGCTGAAGGCCCGCGGTGATGTGACCGTCGACATCCGCTGGAAGGAAGGGGAGCTTCATGAAGCAGTGCTATGGTCGTCAAATGATCGAAATACAGTCGCAAGGCTGCATTATGGCAAAGAGGTTGCTGCTGTGACAGTTCGTCGCGGTATTGTTTACAGGTTTTGTAGCGGATTGCGATGTCTGGAGACATGGCCACTCTGCAAATGACTGTCCCGTGCCGTGCACTTGAAAATGCTTGAATTAGTCATTTTTTCATTTTTCACTATTGGACACAATGGCGCATCAAGGGACACAGTTACTGCCAGTTTGACTGGGGAGTGTGAGGACCAATTTATCTTAGCATTTTGTGACAAAAATGCTACTCATATATTGGAAATATGCTACTGCTCCTTCTTCAGCTTTTATTTACATTCTTTCATGGAGCATGGATAAAATTAGTTGAAGATTGTTAGGACGTGCTATATCACACCACAAAGAGCTGTAATGAGAAAATAAAATGGGGTAGTTCCTTACATGATAGTGAATAAAAAAATTCTTCTATTTCAAGGTTTGAATAATAATTTCAAGATTTCAGGGAAATATTTGAGACTCAAGTTTTCACAACTCGAAGCACCCAAATCTGGGTCAAGGGGACTTGAGCTCGGATCCGACGGTCCATTAGTAAAAGTGTGGGCGTGTTAGCACGAGTGTTTCTTTCTTTATTTTCTTTTCTTTTTTTCCATGGCCTGGTCACATTCCTGTAACTTGTAAAATTACCCTCTTCTTATATGCAAAAGCAGAGCTTCTTCTGCTAGTTCCAGTCAAAATATCACACCCTTGTTCCTTGATTTGCACCCTAGGCTCTCTACCATAGTTGAGAACAATCTATGATACGTACGCTGCGATCCTTGTTGGCCAGCAATCTTGACTTTGCAGGCAACACATGCACGAACCACCGAACCGACGACGAATCGCTCAATACAGCAACATGTTCTGCTTATCCTGCTTCTTTTGCGTCATGCCTCATATAAACAAGCGACACAGAAATCCCAAATCAGCAATGTGGAATGGAATAAAAAACCAGCCTAAGAGGGTAACAACATCTACGTCAGGTTATCCTATATATATACCTAAATAGTTGATCCACATTAACTCTAATTCTCTCAACATGCAGCCCTCCACCCTCCACATCACCAAATGTCCACAACAGCATCCACTAACACCATTGTGTAGCACATGCATACCCCAATTTAATTGTTTTTTTTTGCCGAAACCTCAATTTAATTGTTGCAACTCCAATGGTCCAACGTACATGCATACTCTTTGTTCACACATAATTAATTTTGAAAATAAAGCTTTCGATTTAAGTCATTTTGTTCATGCATAAATATAATACATCCAAAAATAATCTTTTAATTTCCCGCAGCAACGTGCGGGGTAATCATGACCTAGTTTATATAAAGTGCACATCCACGTAAACTTATTTTTCACGCAGCTGCGTATGACACTAGCAGCAGTGAAGACTGACAACAGACTGATAGGAAAAGCACAAGGCAAGGCAGCAGTGTGGCATCAGCAAATACATGCATTACACATATAGACTACTCAGCTCCTTCCTTCCTCTTGTTCCCTAGGACTGATGGAGTTCCCGCCCCTCGCGCCTCTGTTTCGTTGCGCCAACATCTGCACTCCAGCGACAGCAAACCAAAGCTTGTTATCAAGTCTTTGTGCATGGATTCAGAGGATACAGTAGTATCCTGTCCTGCTTTGCACAGCAAAAAGCCTTGTGAATAGCCTTTCTATTGATTGAACTCTCATGCCAAGTTCTCTTCCAAAACTTAATTTCCTGTTTGCATGTAACTGACAGGATCCATTCTGATGTCTCCATTTTGTCTGCCATTGCAGTACTAAGCCTGCAATGCAAACAGGTTTTACTATTGCTATGGAATGGGCTACACAATTCTCAGAAAAATGACAATGCGACCCACTTGTCACCGAGTCTTGTGTAGCCAGAACATCTGTTGACTTCGGCTATCTTCACATCACTGGATAGTTCATCGAAGTGTAGTTCTACACAATCAAGGATTATACTTTGTACCAGAGTAGCACATCTAGCTTAATGCTGAATTTAGAAAATGTACTAGCCGTTGTGAAATATCAAAGACAGCTACATGCACTGTGAAGTAGCCAATGAGTTTTTCATCCTATCTATTTTACCTATCATTTACCAAGATATAGGAACTAACACATTCAGGACCATTATCTCAAGAGTCAAGATGTAACTACATCATTGAACTATCTCTAGTGCTTAAGAATAGCCAATCGAAATGAAAAATACTTACCCTACACCATTAGGTAGGAGATTTTTTTGTTAAGGAACCAGTGATTGCTTATGTCTAGTTAGATCATCGAGAGCGAACTAAGATCATGCTAAAGCCATGAGCTGTTGAATTAGTTGAAATGGCCGAAAACAGAGCCATTTTCCTGATGGCTCAAGGGTGCAACAGGATTACAGGAACCAGAAACTTGATTCTTGGCTACAAAAAGTCGATTAGAAATATCAACAGAGCCATTTAGGTGTACCTTCTTGGATTTTGTATTCTCCAAAGCATCAGTGAGTAGTTTCTCCAGTTTCTCTAGCTCATTAGCATCTGAGTCATCCGCATTGTTTTGAAGAGACCTTCAAGATTGCATATAATCAGCATTGGGCTAAACAGAGTAAATAACATACTAGTAGAAGGTACTGTGAAAGGCCTCGAGGGCTACCAGGAAGCAATCTCCTTAAGTCTTGACTGTATATTGGAAGGATCTTTATCCTGGTTCAGAACCAACATATTGGAAGCAATCTCCTTAAGTCTTGACTGTATATTGGAAGGATCTTTATCCTGGTTCAGAACCAACATATCATGTCAGAGATATTTGGATATATATAGGCAATCTCGCTTAGAAAGAGTACATAAATAATTATAAAATTTTGGCTATCCTAGATACTGAATGCTGCAGTTACGACCTAGACCTGGATTATAGAAAATAAAGATGACTTGTTCAGATAAGCTAGTAGCTACACTAAAAAATATCATATTTGCATTCATTTTGCTGGTCATCTTGGTGCATAGTCAACATAATCCATGAGACACTTCATCATGCGTTGCGCATAGTGCATTTCCATAGTAAATTCATATATATATATATATATATATAGACCCGATTAAATCCACAGTATTATACTTGGCAGCTAAATGTTCCACTCCTAAACTAGCTCTAAGCTATGCACTAAGAAAAGCTAGAGAGATTAATTTACATTGTTGGTACTTGCACCGCCTTCATTCAGGTTCTTTCCGGCTCCTCCAAATGCCTGATAGCGGTCGTATGTATCTTCTATGCTGAAAACAAATGGATACCGTTAACGTTTGGAAACTGTACGTTCAAAGCTTTAGGCAGGCTTGGCTGGCAATTTCAAACACAGTTCTATCAAGGTACAGTGAGAAAATAATACTCCCTTTGATCCATATTAATTGCCGCTGGTTTAGTACCGATATAGCAACAAATTTGTTATAGGCAATTGTCTATATATATAACGATTATTGGAGCGGATATATATAGGTAAATAAATACACAAAGCACACCCTGCATATACCTGGAGGAGGCGTACTCGTAGAGCCTGCCGGCGGGGGAGAAGACGAGCAGCGCGACCTCGGCGTCGCAGAGGAGGCCGAGCTCGAAGGCCTTCTTGAAGAGGCCCGAGCGGCGCTTGGAGAAGCGCACCTGCCGGCTCGTCCGGTCCTCGATCCGCCGCAGCTCGACCGGCCCGCGCCGCGCCATCGCTCGCCTCCTCCTCCGGTTGCCGCTCGCTCGCTGGCGTACGTCTCTCGATGATTGGAGTGGATGGTGAGGGGAGCGGGCGAATATGAGAGAGAGGGACGGGACGGGGTCCTCCATGAGGTTGACGAACCACCAAACCAAGCTGCATGCATGTCCAGAAATATCTGCCGAAAGTGGTTAAATTACGTCAGGATAAGGATGCCGTTCAGGGCAGACTGCATGTCCCATGGCGCGATCGGATCTGAAACGGCCCCACGCCCTCCTTGCTGCATCTCTCGTGTCACCGTCACGTGCCAAGCCAGAAAATTCTAGGACTTTGCTCCGCTTCCTTTTTGATTCTTGTTGATTTTCGGTAACCCCGACCGATGACGCGAAAATTTTAATAAAAACAACATAAATCGATACTTTCACAAAACCACTTCCTGCATTAACTCAATCAATTCTTAGCTAAATCAAAACTTTTCTTACCTTTCCCTATCCATGCTCTCATCAAATTAAATATTACCAAAATTGATGTAAGATATATGTCCGACAAGATTGATGTTGCACGGGCAATTAGCTAGTGAGTTTGACAGCTCTACTATACCTACCACACGCACAAAGGATCTCTTCCATTCTTTTGAAGATTCCAAACACAAAGGACAACACCAGCCACACCCATGCATTTTCATGGGGCGTCTTCCCTCTCCCTCCTCAAATTATATGAAGTCAGCAAATGCTTCTCTAACTTTATGTTTAATCTTTTTGTTTCGCAAACCATTAGTCCAACCGACGACCCGGTTTCACCGTTGCTTCCATCGATCGGAAAAGAAACTATGTCCGTTTTTGGGAAGACATGCATCATGATGTCAAGGAAAATTACATGTGTCATCTCGCAAATCACAAATTATGTTTCTCTATGGGCTCGACACCATAAGAACATAGAGGAAAATAGTTTATGTTTTTTTAAATGATTTATCTCACAACCATCGTATTCCTGGAAAAAGGAAAAGGGCATTGCTAGGGATCAGACTAACGATCAGAAGCATCGGGCTAGTGTGGCTTCTTCTTTTTTTGCGGGTGAAAAAAACTTGTATTGCTCAATCTCTACGCTTGTACAGTCCATCGCAGCCAACTCTATGGATATGTGAGGTCCAGAGCCCAACCAAGTCATGGTTCTACCCTCAATACGAGCAAAATTAGCTAGACTATCACTAACCTTATTCTGGCTACGATTTACATGAGTAATACAAACTTCACGAAGAGACATAAGATATTTAATCTCCTTTATGCGGGCTAGTGTGGCTTCGTTCATGAGACCATCCAAGATTAATGCTTCCTTTTCTTTGCATGATTTTTTTTTCCGTGTATGCTTATATCATGTAGTATACTCCAAGATTACATAATCAACACCGGCAGAGCTATTTTACATTATTTAGTTCACAAATCATGAGCCTCAATAACTAGTATCGAAAAGCACAACATAACAGAGTAACTTAGTGGCGAGACTCCAATTCTTAGGGACACTATTGGGACACACATCCATGACATGGGGTCCACCACAAGCTGCATACACATCATCGTCTGCACATGGCCACATGAAAAGCTAGGTAAGTGCTTTGAATGTACTCGAAAGTTAACAACAACCGATTTTGATCGGGTCAACACTTTTTCAGGCTCTCTCACTCAATTCTTTTAATTTACTATGTTCCTTAATGTGGAAGCTCATTAATTTAATTGAGATATTCAATTTTGTATTTAGTTTACGATTTTGGTCGGGCCAAGGATTTTTCAAATCAATCAGCAGCAACCGGCCTATAAAAGCATATCAATCCCGTGCACCCTTTCATCACCTGGATAAAAGAAGCGCTGCAATGTGATTATAATATCAATATAGTAGTACATGTGACTACCGACACAAAATTTTCCACACGTATATATAGGTTGGTTAGCGGATAACATAGAATCACACCACAAAATGCCCACCAAATATCTGCATTATAAATAAAAATAAACACACTTTATCATCTCCCCGCCCGTCAAACTAAGTATTCCATGGGTCAAAATATAAAGGGTGTTAGTTTTGTAGAAAGTCAAATTTCTTTAACTTTGACCAAGTTCAAAGCAAAAATATTGACATCCATAATATTAAACTAAAAAATGGGAATTCATTTCATGATGATTTTAAAATACCAATTTGATATATTTCTCTACAAATGTGATCAATTTTTTTGACTTTTCTTATAAATTTGAAATAGAGTGATTATTCTTTGAAGAAACCCAACCACACCAACGACGCAGCAAAGCGTGCTCAACCCTTTCAGTACAGATGATAGCAATAAAAGGGCATGATGATATACGAGCTAGGGCCTTTCCATAAATGCGAGTATGGTTGCACTTTTTATAGTTCAATTAGGTGACACTATGGCTCGATCACGTTAATGAAGAAGATTGTGTTACATTTTACACATGTTATAATTATTTATAATTAACCTGGGTCAAAATAAGCAATTCTTTACCGGGGGTCGATCAACCGAGCGTGGGTATAGTTCAAGGAAACCTCAACCAATACAAAGTATGTTCCATCGCTATAATTTTACGTTGATGAAAAACAATCAGGATTGGGCGGCTGGATCGCATCGGTTAGATGCGTAACCGTCCTCAGCATATACCAACGCTGACCGATAAAACGTATACTATATTTGGCCGTGGGCGTGACTGTACACATCCGTGGACAGTGATACTGGAGCTGGCCATCCAATTGTGCCCGCATACATTTTAAAGCGGATTTGAACAAACCGAACGATTTTCAAGCAAACAAGATGGATTTCACTTAAGTTCGGATGTAATTTACATAAAACAGATGATATTTCGTCTACTCAACTAAAATCCAAAAAGAAACTAAAATAGCTTGTAGCAGACGATGACCTCGCAAGCCGTCCCAGGCTATCCATCGGCGCCTCCGTCGTTGTCCGTGCCGCCGCCGTCGTCTTTGCCATCGCCGGAGTAGTCCTTCCAGCGGCGGAAGGGCATGTGTAATGGCTTGATATTTCGTCACTTTTGTAAGAGGGTTTTGATGTGGTTTTCACAATGTTTTCGATATTTCTCCCATCTTTCTAACGCTAATCCTTCAAGGAAAAAAGACTTTTTTTTATCATTGATGTGCAGGAAACATATTTGAAAGGAAACCAATCAATATCCTGTCAAATAAAGATATCTAGAGCAACTTCTCTTTTGGGCAAAAAGTCAACAGTGCCAACAAAGCCCAAGACATCACATGGTATGAGCTGGTCCCACTCGTACCAGTGATCGTACAACTTAGGGCATCTCCAGCCGCGCCCCCAACAGGCCCTCCCAGACGATTTTGCCGTGCCGGCGCCAAAAAAACGGCCCAGTCGCGCCTCCAGAAGTCCGTTTTTCGCCGGCTCGGGCCAAAACTGGTGCCGGCGGACCCAAGCAGAACCCGGCGCCCTGGGGGGCGCTTGGGGAGCCGGCACAAGCAAAAAAGGCGCGTGGGCCCGCCCTGGCGGCGACCCGAGGGCCTTTTCCCGCCGCTTCTTGACGCTTTTCCCTCGCATCTCTTCTGCTCGCTCGCCTTCCTCCCGCCATTCCTTCCCTTTCTCCCGCCAAACCCCCTCCAGCTCGCCTTCCAGTCGCCGCCATGCCGCCGAAGAAGTATGCCATGCCGCGCGTGGCGGCAACCACGACTGGCATCGTGGCCCAGCCGAAGCAGAGGAAGCCGAGGGCGCCGCCATCGAAGCCACCGGGCATGTCGAGTGCCGAGTGGAGGGTGGAAGTTCAGCGACGCGACGCAGTCACCACCGACCGGCGGAACAGGGCCATTGCCAAGAAGGCCCACGACAACGCGGCGCGTGCGGCGGCGTCTTCCTCATCGGTCGACCACGCGGGGATGATGAATCCACCCGTCGTCAGCCACGCCCAGTATGTGCCCTGGGGACATCAAGGCGTCGGGTCTCCATGGGGATCGTCGTCGCCCGGCTACGCCGACGGCGACGCGCACGGGGGGGTCAACCCAAACGTGACCTTCCCCCATGGCCACCCCGCGACGCGCACACCCTCGCCCGCCTTCGTCGGCGTGCAGTACCCTCCATACAACTACTCGACGCCCGCCGCCTACGCATCCACACCGACGCCCCATCTCCGCCGTGGACTGCTGCCCTTCTCGCACCTCGGCGACACCGACGACATAGGACCTGACATGGACGACATCATCGCGACAGGATCGACCGCGGCCGCCGCGTCTCCCGGGTTCGCCACCCAGGACGAGGTAGTGGATCTCAGCGGCGACATAGAGGCCGAGCTCGGCTATGTCTACGGCGAGGACGCGCACGAAGCGCAGGAACCCGAGGAGGAGGAGGACAACGAGAAGGAGGAGGAGGAGCCGGCTCCTGTTCCGACGAAGGGGTGCTAGAAGAAGAAGAAGCGGGCGGCTAGGTCAGGCGAACCGCGCATCAAGTGGACGTCCAAGGAGGAGGAATGCCTCGCCGAAGCATGGAAAGTCGTCTGCCTCGACCCGACCACCGGCGTGAACCAGAGCTTGGAGACGTACTGGGACCGCATCAAGGCCGAGTTGGACGAGCGGAAGCTCGTCGACCCGTACTTCAAAGGCGTCTACATGCAACGCGGCTCCAAGGCGATGGCGAACCATTGGGGGCGTATCCAGTTGGCGTGCAATAAATGGCATGGAATCTTCGAGGAGGTCGCGGCTCGCCCGGAGAGCGGCGCCAGCGTTGAGGATTAGGTACGCACGCCGTTCGCCCGCATCTCTTCATTGGCAACGCCCGCCGCCCGCCAACTGTTTGTTCCTCCGCACAGCTGCTGCGTATGTTCACCATGTATCGGCACGACAACCAAGACGCCGACTTCAAGCACCTCCACGTCTACAAGCGCATTGACAAGTGCGAGAAGTGGGCAGTGTTGGGGAACGTTGCAGAAAAAAAAATTCCTATGGTTTCACCAAGATCCGTCTATGAGTTCATCCAGCAACGAGTGATCGGATTGCATCTACATACCTTTGTAGATCACGCACGGAAGCGTTCAAAGAACGGGGATGAGGAAGTCGTACTCGACGTGATCCAAATCACCGGAGATCCTAGCGCCGAACAGATGGCACCTCC